TGTACATGCCTAATATAGCAAACATCCATCTTTGGGTTCCTATGTCTTTGTCAAGGCTTTTCCCCATAAATGCAGAAGTGGGGGCCTGCAGAAGTACCCCAAAACCTTATCTTTCCAGGCTTTGGAATAAAGCTTCTGAAGACCAGATGGAGGGTGCCATATGGCACTTATATACCTCCCCTGGCATCTTCCTGGCCAGAAGAGGTCAGTGCAGGTCCCGTGGTCCAACAACCTATCCCTGTGTCCCATGCTGGCAGCCCTTTGGCCCTGGCTGCTTTGCAGGTTTCAGTCACATTCCTGAGGAGGTGAGTATTGGCCCCTAGAGCTTCATTGTCTCCTTGCTAATTAGCACAGCCATTGGCTGAGCATTCCTGGCCCAGTGCTCAGCCACAGAGAATTTCCCAGCATCCGTACAGAGGGCATGTTTCTAACTCCACACCCAGATCTCACACGAGCACACGAATCTCGCACACGCCATCAGTAGAACAGACGCTTTCATGGGACACCTCACATGGCCCCTTTGTATCCAGTCTGGGGCAACCCCCCCCCCCCCCCCTGGCAGTGATCTGTCTGCTCCCTTCAGATCCAATAACGTGACACTCCTTTAGCCACAAGACTTCTTATCCTATCAAAGGAAGCTATCCGATTGGTTTGACCTGATTGGCTCTTTACAAATCCATGCTGGCTGTTACCTTCCCCGCGTTATCTTCCAGGTGTTTGCAGATGAATTCCTTAATTACTTGCTCCATCATCTTCCCTGGCCCAGAGTTAAATTGACTTGTCTGGAGTTTCCTGGGTTGTTCTTATTTCCTTTTTTATAGATGGGCACTAGATTTGTCCTTTTCCAGTCTCCCGGAATCTCTCACGACTTCCATGTTTTTTCAAAGATGATAGCGAAAGGCTCAGATACCTCCTCTGTCAGCTCCTTGTGGATTCTAGGGTACATTTAACATGAAGACATCTAACTATTCTAAGTGATTTTTAACTTGGTCTTTTTTTATTTTATCTTCAAAACTTACCCCCTTCCCACTAGCATTGTGATTTGTCCTTTTCATATGTGTTCATTTTTTTTAATTGTATTCTTTGGTATATATGGTTGTGACTATTTTCTTCCACTATTTGATCTGAGGAAGTGGGTCTGGCCCACGAAAGCTCATCATCTAATAAACCATCTTGTTAGTCTCTAAAGTGCTACATTGTCCTGCATTTTATTCCTGAGGAGGTGTGTACTGGCCCCTATAGCTTCATTGTCTCCTTGCTAATTAGCACAGCCATTGGCTGAGCATTCCTTGCCCATTGCTCTGCCTTAGACAGAGAATCTTCCTTCCAGCATCAACAGAGAGCACATAATTATAACTCTCCACACAGACATTACACAAGTACATGAATAGCACGTTCAGAATCAGTAGAACAAAAGCTTTCATGTGACACCTCACATGGCCCCCTTTGTACAGACTTTTGGGGTACATACACCCCCATGGGTGCAAGAGTGATCTACCAGCAGGAAGCCTCACCAGCAAAACCCCTCGGACACCACAGCTTCCCTGTGCCACCATCAGACTTAGGCCTCACACACAGGTGAGAGGTTAGAAAACCCACACTCACCAACTCCAGACAGATCCTCCTGGGCCAAAGGACTCAGCCACATTCCAGGCCAGGTTTCACTATAGATCTGACCCACAAGGGCACGCTGGGCCAGTTCTTTAGAATCCAAACTCCAAAGGGATATTAATAAAAGAAAGAAAAAGTGGAGAGTAAGGTTGTTAATGCGAACACTTGTCATACATCGATCACCGAGTGCGTGCTGCGGGCGGTTAGCAAAGAAAGTACAAACTGCTCCCTTAACAGTCCTTAGTGTCAGCCTCCGAGGGCCCTTCAATGCTCCTTGTGTCTCCAAACTGGAGCTGGTCCTATCCAAGAAGTCCCATGCAAGCTGGTTTGCATTTTTCCAGATGCAGGTGTCGGGTCATTGTTCATGAGGCAGTGCTACTAAGCACAGCCATTTACTGAATAAGCACGCTTCACAGTAGGCAGTCCACGCCCACTTAGTCGCTCCAGAGTCAGACAGAAACATTTCAACATAAAAGAAGAGAGTCCATTCTGTAACTTCATATACAACCATCACAGAAGTACACAAGTATCATGCATAGAATCCACAGAGTACAAGCTTTCAGTAGACCCCTTACATGGGCCCCTTTGCACCAAATTTGGACCCAACACCCATTAGTGATTACAGCAACACCCTTGCTTAGAGCTAAACAAATTAAATTTATCCACGCCAGCTTCGGCAATGGTCTGAAATCCAATTCACACTGGTACAAAGTATGAATCCTAATTCCCCATAGTATAGGCATTTTTGGCCTTAGCCATGAAAACAAAAATGTAGTCGTGCCTCAGTTTCCCTTTTCCACAGAGCACACCAGTCCTGGGATGCCCCTTCTCAAGTGAGACGCTCCAAACTCCATTACAGGTTTCAACAGTGAAATGTCAGTATCACCAGTTTTTTAACATACAGTGTGTCCTTGGGTATATTTCGTAACAGTTTCCAGGGCCCTTGCAGAAAATCACGCACGTTGCACATTGTGACACTTCTTAGAGGCCTCCCTTTTCTGGGCTTCAGCTGTCCCCAGAGCTGAATGTGGGCCCACAGCACTCTCCTCAGCCTTCCAGGCTGACGGGCACCTCCTGCAGACAGAGAGCTGGGAAGAAACCCTTCCCCTCAGGCCTGCTGCCCCTCCCAGCAGCCACACTGCCAGGCTCCACACACTGAGCTCCCTCAAACAAATCACCTTCAGCTTGTGCAAGTTTGGTTTTACAAACCTCACCAGCAGGGTCAGACCGAGCCATTTTGGCGTCCCAGGCCCGGGCATGCGGCACCACCCGCGGTTGCACGGCACATGCAGGGCCCCGTGGCGGTGGGGGGAAGGAAGCTGCTGGCATGCAGCTAGGGGCACGTATGTACTTTTGCACAAGAGCATCCTTGCACAAGAGTATCTACACTGGTATGTACTTTTGCGCAATAGCATCCTTACCAGTGTAGGCGTTCTCTTGTGCAAGAAAGCTCCAATGGCCATTTTAATCATCCAGCTTTCTTGCACAAGAAATTCATGTTGCCTGTCTACACTGGCCTCTTGCACAAGAACAGTTGCACAAGAGGACTTATT